AGATCACCATGAGTTCAAGGCCAGCCTGAGCTGCATAGTGAACTCAAGGTTGACCTGAACTGCTCAATGAGGCCCTCTCAAAAAATTAAATAAATAATAAAAATTTAAGTTTTGAAAGAAATGACAGATTAAATACCTGAGAAGAGAATTTGTAAAATGTAGGACAAACTGAAAAATGGAAAAGTTTGCCTTGTCATCAGTAATAAGCAATTTGGGGGAAATATAGACATTTTTAAAGTTTTACTGCTGTCTAGCCAGGGAGCTGGCTCAGTAGAATAAGCGCTTGCCTGGCAAGCACAAGGGTCAGTTCAAGCCCTGTTCCACAAAAACAAAGGGGGGGTAAGAGATAAGGAAATAAGACCCCCCAAAAAGTATATGTTATTACTACTGTCCAGTAAGTTACAAACAAAAGAAAATAATGGCAGAGGAAGATTTCTAAAGAAGAGTAAAGAAATTATGGGTGATCGTATTCATGAAAGCCGAATATTTTGATTACAATAAAAGAGACTCAAGGGGAGATGAGCGCTCAGCTAGCAAGGAGCAGAGCAGGGAGCCCAGCACTGTCCCAGAGTCTGTGGTGCAGTCCTGCATGCTCTCGTGTGCTCAGCCCTTTCTCTGCTTCAAGTCTTCCGAGGTGCACAGTTTCGGGACAGGAAAATTAAATTCATGCATCTAAAAATAAGAGGCTGAAGAACATCTTGCAGTTGTTTTTCTTGCCTCTCTTTGAAAAATACATTTTTTGCAGAATCTTCTGATAGAAACTTTTACAACAATTCATAGTAACTAGAGTGATCTCTGAGCTTATCTTTATCACAGAATAATCGAGGACTCATAGAACTCCTGGTGGCCCAAATGCAAGTTCCCTAATTCCTAGATTTACTGTAATCATTTGTTTGCTGAGTTGTGAAATTTTTGTATCTTTGTATTTCAGTTTCATAGATCATTTTTCCTTGGATATAAAAAAGGCAAGCCCTAGAGGATTTTCTTTGTTTTCTGCTGTTTCAAGAAAATAAAATTTTCAAAGAATTGTGGCTTGCCGCATGGAATAAAGGATATGTAACTTATGGTTATAGCTCTTCTAAAAACTAACTTTTTTAAAATTATTTATTTATTTGTGTGTGTGTGTGTGTGTGTGTGTGTGGCCAGCTCAGCCCACCAGGGGGCGGGGCGGGCTGGCATGTAGTGCTGGGGATCGAACCGCGGTCCCTGTGCTTTGCTTAGCTTAGCTTGTTCTAAGTAGGTGCTTTAGACCACTGAGCCATCTCACCAGCCCCAAAAACTAACGTTTCTCATCTTATGAAATGGAAACTGTCCCCATGAAAGATCTCCTCATTTCCCACCACCTGGTGACCACCATTCAACTTCCTGCATCTGAATTCGATGATTCTAGGAACTTCATGCAAGTGGAGTTGTGCAGCATTGGTTCTCTCGTGGCTAGTTCATTTCACTCAGTGTAATGACTTCAAGGTCTCTCCATCTTGTAGTGTGTATCAGAATTCTCTTTTGTTGAGGCTAAATGATGCTCCATTTTACGGATGAGCCATGGTACAGTCGTGCGTGCATCGTCCGTATTTCCTTGTTTCGGCTGCGCATAGGGCTGCTGTGAACACGTCATCTCTTTCAGACTCTGCTTTCAGCCTCTCGGGCAGATAACGAGAGGGGAACTTGCTGGGCCTTGCGGTAATCCTGTGGAGGAGCGTCCGTAGCACTGCCCGTAGCAGCTGTGCACATTTTTCGTGCCCTTCTAACAGTGCATGAGGAGTTCCAGCCTCTTCCCACGCCTGGTAGCACCCGATACTTTGTTTTCTTTGTTGTTGGTATTCTTCATAGTGGCCATTCTAATGGAAATATGAAGTGGTACCTCGTGCTTTTGATTTGCATTCCCTAATGATTAGTGATGTGGACAATATGCCTGCTGTTAGCTTCTTTGGAAAAATGTCTACAAGTCTTTGTGTCAGTTGATGTATTGGGTGTTTTTGTTGTTGGTGAATTGTAAGGCTTCCTCTGTATATTCTAGGTCATATTGCCTTAAATACATAATTTTCAAAATTTTCCATTTGGGCTAGGGAGATAGCTTGGCAGTCTAAACTCCTGCCTGGCAAGCACAAAGACCCGGGTTTGATCCCCAGTACCACATGCCACACCAGCCCTGGAACCCTGGGGGCACTGTGCCAGCCACCAAAACCAGGTGTGGTGGCACATGCCTGTAATCCCAGCACTGGGGAGGCTGAGACAGGAGGATCACTATGAGTCCAACCTGCATGGTGAGACCCTGTACCAAATAAAATAAAATAAATAAATAAATGGTTTTCTTTTTTTTCCATTCTATAGAATATCTTTTTGTGAAAAGTATCTTTTAGTGCACAAAATTTGTTGTTGTTGTTGTTATTCCAGGAATCAAACTCAGAACCTTACATCCATCAGGTGCTGAGCTAGATCTGTGGCCAAAGTGTTTACATTTCGAGGTCATCCAGTTGCCTTATTTTCTTCGTTGCCTTTGCCTTTAGCACCATATGTGAGGAATCATGGGGCACTCTCATGGCATGAAGATTTCCTCATGGCTTCTTAGGCCTTCATTTAGTTATGTGATCTATTTTCAGTGTTGGTATTGCTCAGGTAAGGGGCCACCTCCTTCTTTTGCATGTGCATAGCCAATTTTCTGAGCACCATTTGTTGAAGAGAGTATTCTTTCCCCGGTAAATGGTCTTTGTACACTTGCCATAAATCACTCGTCCATATATGTGAGGGTTACTGCTAAGCACCCTCTCTGTCCACGGGTCGAAACTATGCTGTTTTTTGATTACTGTAGCGTGGTAGTAAGTTTTGAAAGTGAACCCGCCAGCCTTGTTCATCTTTTCCAAGATTATTTTGGCTATTCAGCATCCTTTGAGATTCCATATGAATTTTTTCTGTTTTTGAAAAAAGTCATTGGAATTTTGTTAGGTGTAACATTGAATCTGGAGATCAGTTTGGTTAGTGTAAATATTTTAATCATGTTAAATATTTTACTTCATGAATACATTGTGCTTCCACCTTATATTTTCATTTTTTTGCTAATGTTTTGTAGTTTTTAGCACACTAGCCTTTCACTTGATGCATTATTTTCTTGAGTATTTTAATTTTTGATGCTACTATAAATAGAATTACTTTGATAGTTTCCTGTAGTTTGTTTGTTTGATAGATACAGGGTCTCGCTCTGCGCTTCAGACTTGTAACGGTCTTCCTGTCTCAGCCTCCCCGGCGCTGGCATTACAGGTATGGGCCACCACACCTGGCCTTGGTGGCCAGCGCAGCAAGTGGTACTGGGGATCAAACCCAGATCCTTGTACTTTAGACTGCCGAGCTATCTCTCCAGCTCCTGTTGCAGCTAACTTTTGAGTCTTCACTGTGTAATCTGCATCTTTGATAAATTTTTACAATTCTAACAAATTAATTTTGGACTAGAGTTTTCTAATGTAAAATCATGCCATCTTCAAACAGAGATAATTTTACTTCTTCCTTTATGATTGTTTTCTTTTTCTTTCCTAATCATTCTTGCAAGGACTTTAAAAATTAGGTGAAGTGGGAGAGAGGTATATTTGTTTGGTTGCTGGTCTTAGAGAAAAAAAATGTTCAGTCTTCCACCATCAAGTATGTTCATAGGTTTGGAATTTTTATCATGTTGAGGTTGCCTCCAGGGCCTGGGTTGGTCTGTGTTTTTATCATGAGAGAGTTTTGAATTTTGATGAGTGCTTTTTCTGTATCAGTAGGGATGATCATGTGCTTTTTCCTTCATTCTGTTGAAGCGGCATAGTCTTTGATTTTCATAGGTTGAGCTATTCCTGCTTTCTAAGGGTGAGTCTCATGTGTTCATGGTATGTAATCCTTTTAACATGCTCTTGCATTTTCTTTGCTAACACTCTGCTGACAAATTTTGTATCACGTTCATAACATATTGACTTGTTAGGTTGTCTTGATTTTGTTTTTAAGTGAGATCTGCTGTATCACCCAGGCTTGAATTCTTGGGCTCGGTCATCCAGGCTCTGCATTCTGTGTAGCTGGGACTGAAAGTATGTACCGCCACTCCTGGCTCGCTATTCCCTGGTAGCCTTCTTGCCTGGCTTTGGTATCAGTATCATGATGGCCTCTTACAATGAATTAGGAAGTGATCTCTTCAGGTTTTGGAAAGGTTTGGGAAGTGTTTGTGTCAGTTCCTCTAAATGTTTAGCAGACTTTCCTGTGTAGCCATCAGGATTTTTGTCAGAGGTTTTTGACTACTGAATCAGTCTCTTTAGTAGTTACGACTCTGCTCACACTTTTTATTTCTGATTTAATATTTTTATTTTTTTTTTATTTATTTTGTGTGTGTGTGTGGCCAGCTCAGCCCACCAGGGGGCGGGGCGGGCTGGCATGTGGTGCTGGGGGATTGAACCGTGGTCCCTGTGCTTTGCATAGCTTAGCTTGTTCTAAGTAGGTGCTTTAGACCACTGAGCCATCTCACCAGCCCCAGAATTTTTATTTCTTTGTCTGGTAAAGTTCTGTATTTCCAGGAACTTGCCCTTATGCTTAGGTATTTCCGAGTTATTTTAGCAAGAAGATAAGGCTGAGCTTTGCCACTCCATCTTGCTGGGTGGAGGCGCTATCCTTCTCTATGGATGTCTTGCTGGGTGGAGGCGCTATCCTTCTCTATGGATGTCTGGAAATTGAAATGGAGCTTTTAGAGAAAACTCAGAAGACCTGGCAGAGAACAGAAACATCAGAGACAGCTGAGGGAAGAGGCATGGTGACAGCTGGTGGCATGGCCAATAAAAGAGAAGGACTTTCCTACAGAGTCTTGTGGTCTTCCACAGGCTGCAGGCAGGGAGCATGTTGGGCTCTGACCTCTGTCCTTGAGCCACCTCAGTAGAGAGGTAGATTGCTAAATAGAACTGTGTGGACTTACTCCAGAGCCGCTTTGTCCTCAGTCATGGATGTGTGGCCATGTTGCCCTGGTGTCACTGGCTGACCTAATTCTTTTTCAGCTTTTGAACATGTCAAACTACAAGGAGAAGTTCTCCACTCTGCTGTGGCTTGAGGAGATCCATGCAGAAATGGAGCTGAAGGATTACAGCATGAGCGGAGTCACCTTGAAGAGGAACGGGGATCTGCTGGTGCTGGAGGTCCCTGGCTTGGCTGAGAGCAGGCCGTCCCTGTACACAGGTGCAGCTGCACTGTCAGGTTTCCCGGGAGCCCAGCAGGCAGACACATGTGGCAGAAGAGCACTCTGAACTGGCCACAGGCACACAGATTCCTGTCTGCCCTTCTGCATAGTATTTCGCTTATATTTGATCAGTGATCTGTGTAAATTAAACATGCAGCTTTTGTGGTTGCACATCATTTGGGCAGCTCATCCAAATAATTTTCTATTTTATTCTTCCTTAGGGATTTATTGCATCATATAGTAGGATAAAGTGGTGATTTCGAGTAGGTTTGACACAGTGATGTATTTTTAACTAGGTGACAAGCTGATTTTAAAATCTCAAGAGTATAATGGACATGTCATCGAGTACATCGGCTATGTGATGGAGGTAAGAGGACAGTACTGAAGAGGGAATTCAGGCCGATTCAGCCACTCTGGGAAGGGGCTCCCTTGGATTTGAGCTATGATTGGGAAATTTGCAGATAAAATGAATCTTTATCATCCATTTTTGATGGTAAAGGGAGCTTAGTATCTGTAGTTTTCAGCCAGGTGACTTGTAAGTTACGCATAACTCATGATGTTTGCATTTAGTTGACGAGGCATCTGTTCATCAAGAGATTGTAGGGGAGTAGGCTAGAAAGAAGGATACATTAGAGTGTGCAGCTCTCAGGTTGGGCTAGAGGTCTGGTTGGCTGATCTGTCCCGTGATCTGGGTCACGGTGCCTGAAGGCTTTGTGATTCTTGGGCTGGTTTTCACTGCTCAGAGAGTAAGCATGGCCCAAAGAATAACGCTGGGGTATGCCTGAGAAGGGGATGCTTACTCTTGCAAGCACATCTGCTCTTTTCTGTGCCCTGACATGGGTTTTGTGCTTGGCTCCGTTGAAAGATGTGATGTTTTCTCAGAAGGTTGGGCTGGGGAGATGGCTCGGTGGTCTAAGCACCTGCCTGGCAAGTGCAAGGACCTGGGCTCAGTCACAGGTATAATATGCTGTGTGGGCCCAAGAACCCTGGGTATGCCGTGCCGACTACCAGAACTGGGCATGGTGGTACACACCTGTAATCCCAGCACTGGAGAGGCTGAGACAGGAGGATCACTGCAAGTCCAAGCTTCAAACTGAGACCCTGCACCAAATAAAAGAAAAAATATATATGTGTATAACATATATATATATGTCACAAGGCTTGGGGAACTCCTGATGATTCAGCATAGCACTTGAGGATTGAGCTGCAGGCTGGCTTTGCCCTGAGTTTCCTCCAGCAGCAGTGGGAAACAGTGCAAAGTCTCCACTGAGCACAAGAGGAAGCCTGCTGCAAAGACAAACTCTTCCAGAGATGGATCTCTAGTCCTGAGGAGAGATGGCCTCAGTAGGCTTGACAGAGAATTTTAATTGCCAGAAAGGTCCTTGAAAGTCGTCACAGAAGATATGGAAGACTTAAGCAGGGCGTAGAGGCTGGTGTCTTTGGAGTAGAGTCCAGATCTCCTCATCTCATGGCAGGGATTGGATCAGTCAGGGTTCTCACTGTAGGTGTCAGAAGCCTGTGCCAGCTGCTGGGAGCAAGGGTTCTGGGCAGCTCTCAGAACTGCTTCTGGGGTAGCAAGCCAGGCTTGGAGAACAGTAGTCTGGGAGTTTGCGGAATAAAGCCCCAGAAGTGCAAGGCCCAGGCTCGTGAGATCCCCTTCCCACCCAGATCAGACCCAGGTGCCATTGCTGGCATTGGCAGCTCTCAAAGGGCCCTCCATCCTTGCACCCCGAGCAGCTAAATTATCACTCATGTGGCAGGAGGTCTAGCCCTGGCATAGGGGGCAGTAGACATGCTTGTACCCCCTTAACTGATTACTGCCATTATATTACCTCCTTTGCTTTGGGTCACTTGGTCTGCTGAAGAGCTGTCTCTCTCGTGTGTTTTCCTCTGCTAAGTAGAGGGCATCTTTCCTGTCCTCGTGTCCTCACTCAAAGGGGAGTTGAGATTTAGAGAGCCAGGAAGAGCAACCTTTTGTGTGAGAGTGTTGGCATACGTCCTTGTTACACTGATGTCGGTAAGGAACTGGCTTCTGGTTAATACACTGTTTTTACCCTCCCCAGCATCATGAGTCCTGCCATGACCCAGGCTTCCCGCAGGGCTGTGCTGATAGCCTGTAACCTTGGCTGAAAGGTTGACTGCCGCCAGAGAACAAGGCTGAGAAAAGCAGGGACAAAGGCCACACAGCCTTGTCAGTCCAGTTGATGAGATAATGCTAGAATTTCAGGCTTCTCTGCCCTTCTGCCTCAGGCAGGACCTCCAGGCTCTGTACCACGAGTTAGTAGGGGAGAGCAGTGCTGCACTCCTCAGGGCTTGTCCTGAGTGCCCATGCTAGTGATGGCCAAGACGTCATCAGTCAGCGACAGTGTGATGGGTAGGCTGCATCCCCCACTGTAGAGCAGCAGCCACTTAGTCCATCCCTCAGCAACTCCATAGCCCTCCCTGCTTTAGCCAAGTGGCATGTGGAGTCCACAGATGGCCAGGTGGGTGACCATCTTCACTTCCAAGTAGCCAGCTACTGTGTAGAGTGGGAAAGCTCTGGGCCCCAGAGCCTCCAAAGAAACAGGACCAAAGGTCCCGGCAGGAGGCCCTGCCCTTTGGCCCCTGGGTTCCTGAAGCACATGCTGGGTGTGGGTGGTAGAGCTGCCCAGTGATTCAGCTAGAGCTCATACAGCAAGCAGCTGGCCTGGCGCAGTACTGAGGCACCACAGTCCTGTAAGGTGCCCAGTGTGCCATCAAGTCAGCTTGCTCATTGTGTTCTGTAGGTCCCAGCCATGGCTTTGCTTGGTTCTGTCATCCTGGTGCAGACACTAGGCTGGTACAGAAGGCTCTTGGGAGGAGTCACATCTAGGACAGGTAGTTACCATACTAAAGGTGACGAGGCAAGGACAGCGAGCAGAGACAGTCATGAGTGGTCGCGCTCAACACTGGAAAATTATGCCCCCTTAGGGAACCAGTTGAGGGAGCCTAAGGGATCGCAGCACTGCCTGCGGTCACCTGGTCACATTCCAACTCCTCCTGCCTACCTGGGAATGTGTCCCAAGGAAAAAACAGCAACACACATGCTGCCACCTTGTACTCCTCCGGCTCTCAGGCCTCGGTGCTCTGTGTCGTTCTCTAGGGCGGCCCTAGCAGCTGTGTGATGTGCTTCCTTTCTTGCCTTCTGCTTTCTTACTTCATACACAGCCCTTCGGATTTCTCTCCAGGGACACATCAATCTGTGATGCCGTTGGCACCCTTGCCTGCTGAGAGCAGTCTGTTGCCCTCGCTGTTAGTGGTTGGTTCACTTGTGTGTCTAGTGTCTAGTGATTCTGGATTAACTCTGGTTTTTTATAATCTCCAGAAAACTCTGCAACCCCTGTTGAGCTAGCTTTCCTTGTGAGAGGCTTTGTGGCAGTGGCTGCTGAGAAGAGGGCACTGACCTGGGCCCATGCCAGTGTTCCCCATGTGCATTAACCTTGTGTCACACAGTCTGGAGAACTGACTTGGGCCGTAGCTTCCTGAACCATTGCCGAGCTTAGCCTGGCCCTCAGGAAGCCACCCTGCCTGAGTGCTCCCTTATTCTCCTGAGGATATTGGGCTCCTATTGTAGCTTTGTGTTTCCATTGCTATTTTTCCCCATACTTTCTCAGAAATGTACTTTCTTTCCTTTTTGTCCAGGAAAGATGATGAAGAATTGCTTTTGGCAGTCTAGCTTTTTCTAGTTGCTGACACTAGGGGCAAGGGAGAGTCTGGCAGCAGCCGTTCTGCAGAGGCTTTCGTGCACCAGGAACATGCGCCCGGCTGCGCTTGCAGCTGCCCGCGAGGGGGTCCTGCTGCTGCCATGCAGTCCAGAGCCTCGGGCCCATAGCAAGTGTGCTCAGTGTTGCTGCTGCGAGCGGAGTTCCGCCCAGGGCTCCTGCCTGTGTGACTTAATGACAAAGTTATTTAATCCTTTCCGTGAATTTTGTAGACACTTAAGGTATTAAAGTTTGGCTCAGATTTGTAAATACATTCTTTATGGTGTGTTGCTGGATATACATAGAAGAGTATTCCAAGAAGTCAAGTTAAATATGTGGAAGTTGAATTGCTTGCTTCTGTTTTAGATTCATGAAGAAGACGTGACTCTTAAACTTAATACAGAATTTGAACAGACATACAACTCTGAGCCTATGGATGTGGAGTTCACGTACAACAGGTAAGGCCTTCGGGAGTCCTCGTCCTTGGGACGTCTGCCTGAGAGTCAGCTGGCGTGCCCTCTTGTGCCTCAGGGTCCCAAGCACCGTGGTGCTGCCCTCGGGCGTGGCTTTGTCCCTCAGGAAGCTGTGGCGTAAACAGGTGCGTGCTGTGCCTGTTCTTCTTTGTGGGCCGCGGGTGCCAGGCCCAGAGCCCGGCCCGCTGCCCCTCAGCCCACAGCCCTCTGCTTGCCCTGCACTCGTTCAGCTGGCATCCCAGTGCGGCGCTTCTTCCTGCCTCTGCCTCCCTTCCTGCACATCTTAGGTGTGCCCTGAGTTATCCAGGCTCCTTTTGGACCTTGCAGTCTTCCTGACTCAGCCTCCCTGAGATGACAGGAATATGCCCTCCCTGTTAACAGTGTGTGTACGTGTGCGCGTGTGCGCATGCGTGTGTTTGTGTGTTGCAGTACTGCGGACTGAACCTCGGGCCCTTTCTTCCTGTGGTCTCACTACCTCTTCAGCATTTTCTGAGCTAGTTGTTTTTCTTCAACATGATAGGAAATATTTCTCTTTTTGTTTTTCTTTTTTTTTTTTTTTTTTTTTGTGGAACCGGGGATTGAACTCAGGCCCTTGTGCTTGCCAGGGAAGCGCTTATTCCACTGAGCTATTTCCCTGGCCCGATAGGAAATATTTCGACTAGGTATCTTTATATCAACACTTCCTTAGAATTTCTGTGGTGAGTTCCTCCCTTACTATATGTTTGCGATGTATTGGTTATATTTACTTTATGTTTCTTCAAGGCTTTTGGGAGACAGGATACTAGAATGCTGGTTCATATGTGTTTGTTTGTTTGCATAGTACAGTTCTTTTCTTGTTTTGAAGTGTTTGTCATGGCAGCTTTGAAAAGTTTTTTAAAACTTTCCTCTTCTCTCCCTTATTTGGAGGTGTTGATGAGTGGAAAAGGGTGGAGCAGCAGGGCCAGTCCAGGCTTTCTTCAGCTTTTCCTGCTTTGCTGATTTTGCTTTACATTTTTTTTAAGAGTCAGTTTGCTAAGTCCTAGCTTAGCCCATGGCTTGCTGTAACTCTCTTTGAGTGGAGTTCATTCTCTCTCAGGCATTTATCTTGGGAGACTGAGTACCGGTTTTTATGTGTCTAGCACAGGGTCTACAGGGTCTCACTACACAGATTGGACTCGTAGTGACCCTCCTATTCTTAGCCTCCCAAGCGCTGGGATTACAGGTGTGCGCCACCATGCCCCGTCTCGGCACACCCCGGGGTCAGGGCCTGGCCTGGCTTGGCATGCAGGGGATGGAACCTGGTTCCTGCTTCTGCCTAAGCGGGTGTGTTGGTCTGCTGAGCCATCTGGCCAGCCCGACTGCTTATCACAGGGCAGGTGGAGATACGGGCTTCTGCAGTGTCTACAGCCCCTCAGGGTGCTTACTGGCAGCTTCTGTATGCACCTGTCTCAGTTACTCTTCTGTCATTGCTGGGACAAAATACCTGACGCCCAAAAGGAAGGAAGGAAGGAGAGGTTTATTTTGCTCACAGCTGCTGGAGGTTTCAGTCCACACTTGGCTGGCTCCCAGGCAGGGTGGCACGTGGCAGAGGGCAGCCTTTCATGGTGGCGGCAAAGAGCAGAGCACGTGGGAGGAGGGGCAGCAGCAATGGCGGCACAGAGCGAGTCCCCCACACACACACTGCAGGCCGGTGTATCACTGGCACCCATTATCCCCGCAGTACACCCACATTCCCAGGCTCGGATCATGAGTTAATTGCGGCCTGTAGAACTGCACCCCAATGACTGCATGAGCCTGTGGGGGCAGATACACCCAAACCACAGCACACCCCAACTGCAACATCTGACCGTGACCTCGGGCACACACACGTATTTCTTGAGGCAGTGGGGAACCAGTAAGGTACCTGTAAGCACCCACATCGGAGTTTTTCTGGAGATCTGTATGTGGCCGGGTTTTGAGCGGGTCTGAGCTGGCTCTTGTGCTTTTGCTTGTGCCAGTCTAGATTTCCTTTATGGAACAGAGTCTCGTCTTTATTTGTGCTTTGGCACTTTAGTCATCCAGTTTCACTGAAGGTGGAATTTTATTTTATGTGTTCTTGTCATTGCTTTCAGTGAATTTCAAGGAAGCAACCCTCACAATCAGTAATACTTTTCTCTTGGCGCTAATATTATTTCCTCACATTTTATAGGCTGTATTTTCATTTCTCCTGCTTACTTATGTCATACTTGAGAACGTATATAGTTCCAGAAAGGAAAGAATCCTTGATGTTCTACCATCTATCTCTTTGAAATTCCTGATTTTCTCGTAGTTGCATAGTCACATGTAGGAAAGCAACCTTTGAGTGCTTTGTGTTACCAGTGGTGATTCTGAGACTTTGTAAGACTGAGCTCTAACCTGGTCTCTGTTTTGTAAAGGTTATATTGATGAGATGTCTTAAGGGTTATTATTTTAGTCTTTAATGTTGCTACAACAGAATATCACAGACTGTACCCTATTTTAAAAAAAGAAGAATGGGGACCTGCCCAGTAGCTCAGTTGCTTAAGTGCTGCTTAAACAAACCCTCAAGCTCAAGCTTCTGGGGTTCCAACCCAGACAGGCACTGCAAACCAGAAATGCCCTAAAGGCATTTCGAGCCTCCAAAAAAAAAAAAAAAGAAAAATTTGCTTTTCCAGGTCTAGAGGCTGGGGAGCCAGCAGATAAAGTAGCAGTGAGGCTTTCTTGCTACCTCGTGATATAGCAGAGGGCATCACGTGGTGAGAGCACTCCCAAGGACAAAGAGGGCTGGGGGAGTGGGGAGCAGGCGGAAGTAGGGAAGTGAACCCGAGCTCGCCTTGCCACAGAGCCACTCCCTTCATGACTAAACTGCCGGCCTGGCACTGTCCTCGTGACCTGACACCTCCCCAGACCTTCACTAGCCTTAATAGTTCTAAATTTAGCTAGGCATGGTACTCATGGAGGCTGAGGCAGGAGGATTGTTGCCCGGGCTACACAGTGAGCTCAAAGGCAGCCTGGACAGCATAGTAAGATCCTGTCTCAGAAAGACAAAAAAAAAAAATCTAAATTTAAAACTTTTATTTTGTGTTTTCTGTTAGGACCACAAGCAGACGATGTCACTTTGCACTTGAACAAGCCATCCACTTAGGTGTAAAAGGTAGTATTGTCACAGTAATAGCATAACAACATTCTCAGAGTGTTTTTATAGCTTTTATGTGAAATACTATATAAAACAGTATCTTTAACCATATATAACAAGTAGAAATAATCATGTTCTTATTTTTGCTATTGGGAAATTGTGTCATTTTGCTACTTTGGCTACATAAAAATAGCATACTTAAAAATAAAGGGCCAGGGAGATGGCTCAGTGGAATAAGTGCTTCCCTGGCAAGCACAAGAGCCTGAGTTCAATCCCCCGTTCTGCCAAGAAATGAAAAAATAAAATAAATAAAAATAGCATACTTAAATAATTGAAAATTAACTAATTACATTATACTCCTGTCATACAATTCATTTTGTACTTAAAGAAACAACTTAACTGTAATAATAGGTTCATGCTTGGAGTACCTGTCATTCTGGTATTCTGAATATGGGCTGCTTGTCATGACATGCCAGTTACTGCTGTGCTGTCTCTCAGGTAGATGGTTGTTCGAAAAGAAGGGGGTGGTGAATGAAGGCAGGAGACAGGAAAAGGAATGTTGTGGGACTGTCCTGCTTCGAGGTTGTATATGGTTAGATTTTTGGACTTATGTGTAAACGTAAGAATTATATAATTCTTTATGCCTACTTTTTTTTAAAAGTAATTATTTATTTATTTATTTATTACATTTTATTTATTGTGTGTGTGTGTGTGTGTGTGTGTGTGGCCAGCTCAGCCCACCGGGGGCGGGGCTGGCTGGCATGTGGTGCTGGAGGATCGAACCGCAGTCCCTGTGCTTTGCCAAGCTTGTTTCAAGTAGGTGCTTTAGACCACTGAGCCATCTCTCCAGCCCCTGCCTACTTTTAATATATATTGTAATTTTTAAATGTTTTTTCATCATTCTGTAGGAACTTAAAGTTCAACATATCAATACTTGATGAAAAATATCTGTTCCATGTTATGCCTAAGATGTTTGATATTCAGACAGATAGTGAGGTTAAGCTTAACAGCCTAGGTTATAAGGTAATAACAATAAGCTTCTCTTTTGGAGGGTTAACAACCTAAGTTTGCAGACCAAAATTAGAGAAAAAGGAGGGCCGCAAGGAAAGCCAACATTTTGGCCCTAGCCTTCCAAGGTCAATTAAGACTCAGGACATACGAGAACTTGTACTGTAACGTCATGGAACTCAGTAGTGTCCCAAATTTTCTGATCAAGGAGATTATGGGGCCAAAGAGGAAAGTGATCAATGATGTAGAGTGTGCCTAAGGAGAGTCACATGGAGAGAAAACATTCTCTCAGACTTTCACAGAGAGCACATTGGCCAAGCAATCGCTGTGACTCATCCACATGGCTGACACTCAAAAAGGATCTACAATCTGAGGTACAGGGTCTCAGGATAAATCCTGAGGGGATTTCACTGACCTTATCAGACCCAAAAGCTACAACTCTTGTTGCATAAGTCCTGCTTTACCTTGGTCTTAACCATCCAGCAGAACAGTATAAAAATGAAGTATAAGAAGTAAAGCCATGCTGTTATGTTGAGCTGTAGGGGACTCAGGTCAACAATTTCTGACATTGCCAGTCAAGCAGAAGACCCAATACTATTATGGACTACTGGACTCTTTTGAGATGTTTTGCTGAGTTAACACACCTATAATATTCAAATAACTAAACAAAAAAAGGGGATATAGATGAATGTCCATTTGGTATCTGTGTATTCAAAATGGTTAGGATTGGGGCTGGAGAGATGGCTCAGTGGTCTAAAGCACCTACTTGGAACAAGCTTGGCAAAGCACAGGGACCGCGGTTCGATCCCCCAGCACCACATGCCAGCCAGCCCCGCCCCCTGGTGGGCTGAGCTGGCCACACACACACACACACACACACACACAATAAATGTTAAAAAAAATTAAAAAATTAAAAAAAATGGTTAAGATAGATATATAGTTACATTCTTTTAATGAATAGAAGGGTTTGTTCTAATAGTGTTTGTAAATAGGATATCAAGTCCACATCTTGTACAGCAATTAACCACTAGGAAGAATGTATGCAATGTATTAAGTATTGAAACTGTCCTACCAATTTGGTTTGAAACTGTCTCATTGCTATTTGTTTCTCAATAAAATTATGGAAAAAAAACAACTTAAATGACTTTGTTGCAAATAATATACAGAACTAGCATAGTGCTAAGTTTAGAGATGACATAAAAGGAGGTCCACAGCGTAATGGAGTAAAATAGGAACTACTTTGGGATCAACCATGAATGTTTGTCTCCATTCATGATTTGTAATCCTTTTAGTAATTTCTACTTTCTTTTTCTTGTTTTAAAGTACTGTTTCCAGAAGAAGTAATTTTACAGTCTCCCCAGGTAACAGACAATTGGAGCCATGCACAACAAACCGAAAGTGATGAACAATCTACCACCAAGGTAGTGGTTTTATGGCTTCAGTATGTTTAAGTAGATTATGTCAGGGTGGTGGTTGGTAGGGTTTTGCCCCAGTACCGGGGATTGAACCCAGGGCTTTTGCACTGAGCTATGTCTCCAGCCCTTTTTTTTTTCTTTTTTCATTAATTTTATTGAGAAACAAATAGCAGTGAGACAGTTTCAAAACAGAATAGTAGGACAGTTACAATAATGTGTTGCATATTGTTGTTTTCATAGTAGTTATTAATAGTACAAGATGCAGACACGATATCCTGTCCAAACACTGTTAGTACAAATCTTTCTTCTCATTGAATTACGAGAAAGTAGCTGTATATCTATCCTAACTATTCTGTATATACTGATACAGAAACATTTATTTTGGACCAGAGTATCTCTTGAGTTTCCCAGCCTCGACTTGACCTTGCTGCCTTTGCCAGTGTGCTGAAATTAGAGGTGTGTGCCACCACGGCCAGCTTAAGTGGATATATAAATTCACTTCTAGATGCATC